TCGGCGTAAGAGAGCGGAAAGGACAAACTAGAACTTGAAGATGGCCCCGAGCCTCGCTTATCCGCGAACTCTTACATAAACGGAAGGCCCGCCGTGCCAAATATTATTTCTGCGTTCGCAAACAAACGCGCTCGGACCGATGGGAGTGCGCGAGCGCGCAACACTCCGGACACTTGGAGATGTTTAAGTACCCATACACGGGGATGCATGCAGGCACGTATGCAAACGAGGTCGAAATAAATTCGCAAGGTCCGCGGCCACGTAGGTACGCGTGCCTTTTGGATGCGCCGAATTTTCCGCGGGAAAAGCCTCGCGATCTCCTGGCACGAGCGAGGAAGAAAGAGGCAGTACGCGGGGAAGGGAGAATTTTTTCACCACGGATTAATAGCTCTAATTGCAACAATTTATCCTAAGCAAGTTCCTTTGTCCACCGATGTTAGGGAAAATCGAGAATCGGGAATTATTTCCCTCGCGTTAATCTCTACAGCTCTTACTTATCGTTATGTAATCTAACTGGGCTCTGTACAAGCGGACTCGGTACTTTGTCTCCGTGGAGCTTGAATCGAAAGCACTACTGGCAAGTATGAATTACTTGTTTTGACGGTAACGTCGTATCCGCGAGTAGTTCGGATGCAAGGATTCGCAACGTCCGCGGCCAGAGAAACGATATCCATATATTAGTTAAGTAGATGACTATCTTTGCGATATCAACTTGGCAACTTTGATATGTCAGGGGTGGCGGTGACGCTCGACACTTTACGCTAGTTAACGGAGTAATTATACTTGATGGCAGGTGCGGCTAAGGGGAATTATCGTTCGACCATTCGATTCGACCTCTTCCTGTACGATATCGGCGATACGTTCCCCTGTCTCTATTTATAATGGTCGCGAAATGCGAGGCTCGAATTTAGACCCACCCCGACGCCCGGCGTCGGCAATGGGAGGCATCCCAGGCCCGCCATTGATGACGTCGAAAGAATTAATCCTTGGAACCGGCTAATTCGGTGGCCTTTGGCATCCAAAACCCGTGTCACTCCGATGGACCGTTTGTTATCCGATGAGACGTCGCGGACTCGCGAAGACGTTCCTCCTGCTGTCCCTCGCGCCGCGGGCGTCGCGACGCCCCGCGACAAAAGAGCGTCCCGCTCTCGCTGACGCATTGTACTTCTCGCGAAGCGGCTGCGCGAGCCAGATGCTCTTTCATCGGATCGTCACTAATCCCCGGACTATCCTGACGGAAACTCGAAGTCGCTTTACACGTGTCGAGATCCTATCTGCGCGCAATTTTAACCCCTACGTACGTGCAATTCGATGCACATTTGTTAACACTACCGGCGCATTTTTCTTTTTTTTTTTTGGCTGTGGCGGAGTCATCTGAAACCACTCGTCTTGACTGGGTCTGGTAGTTTTCCAGGTTTACATTTCATGTTTCTGGTAATTCAGTGTTATGGGCTCGATCAGCTGACCAAAATGCGATTTTTCTACTTACGTGAATTCAGCCTACTCGCTTGCGACAATTAATTATTCCTTTTTAATTGGATCGCCGTCGCAATTTTTTGGCTCCTATGGCTATGCAATTCGATGTACATTTATTAAGGACTTAGCTTAACGGCTGACTAAAGCGAGATTTTTCTACTTGCATGAATTCATTTCGTTTATATAGAAAATAGCTGTCGGACGCTTTGTTAAGCGTGGTAATTTAACTCGCTATAGATATATGCAGATAAAGTGTGTATAACAATAGAATGAAAATTATAGAATATCATACAGCTTTGTCCAGATAATCGACGTACATTTTTAGAGTTATAAATACCGGATAAATTCGATCTACGAAGAAGAAGTAATAATTCAATGCTTCTCAAGTGGAGCGGGCAGTTATGCTTTTGTTACTCGTTATATGTACACCGGTACTATAATTATTCAATTATCTGCAGCAGTGGCAATGTACCATCTCCACGGAGGAAGTGGCGGGGTACTAATGAGTATTTGGCAACGAGCGCCTGTCGTAAGTTGTTTCTTCAATTACGAATGTATTAAATTGCTCATCTCAGATGCTGACAAGTGTAGGTACACCGTGCGTGGGCGGTGCTCACGGCACATTTTCTCTCTCTCTTTTTTAATACGTTAAACAAACCATCACATCGGATTTTCCTACCGTACGCGAATTAATGTATCTTACAAATCGCGACATGCAGATCGGCATCACGATCCTATAATATATTATAAAATTAATAAATACATCAAATTGTCCCTAATCGCTGTACTTCAATTTCCGGCAGAAGTTAACAAATTTCTGGAAGAAACTGAAATGTCCCTTATAAAATGTGATGTTAAAAAGAGAGATGGGTACATTTATTATATACATATTTTTTTTATTGCGATTGAATATGTTAGGAGTAATCGATAAGAAGGAGAGGGATGATACGTCAAAAGATCCGCGAGACGACCGCTCGATTTGCCCCACGACGTGTAACTCATTCGACTTTCCTGGAGCGGTCCTAATGACGTTTTACTGCTGCCGTTATTATTATTAATAGTATTAATAGTATTAATAGTATGGCTACCCACGGAGAGGCAGTCGTTACGGCGTGCAATAAAATGGCCCCGAGGTTGGCCACGATTCGCGAGGCTGTATTCTCCCGTGACGACGCGCCTCCGATGCCGTGAGTCACGTCAGCACGCGTGCCCACGGGAGTGACGTCTAATGACGACATTTTCCTCCAAGTGAAATAATTAACAAACCGTTATCAACGATCCACCAACATATCAATCTGAAATCTGATCGAAAGCTTGCTGGTCGACGCTGATCCACCAAAGCCAGGGCTGATAAGGAAGCTTTTCATAACAAAGCGATATAGGGGACAACGAACGATTATGAAAAATAATAACAATTGGGCTTTAATAGAATTTGGAAATTATCATTTTGGTGGTTTGTCATTGATATGACGCGACCGATCGGTGATCGATCCGTGTACTCGTTCAATTAGCTAGTACTCTAATCTCATGCCCGGTCTACCGCACAGGTTGTAAAGCTCGGCTCGTGTCGCGCCACTCGGCATCCCCGTCGTGTATCGCCATCCTAATTATATTTGTTTCTCCGTATTTCTGGAATCGTACCGACGGGGCGCCGGTCCGCTTCGGGAGAGACGCGTTTCTCCTCTTCAGTCGCGCGAGGTTCTCCTCGCAAGGCGCACACCGGGACGGAGGAATATCCGGGACACACCCTCAGCCCTCGGGATCGCCCTTGACTCCGAGGACCCATCTAAGGGAAAACGCCGAATTTCTGGCTGCCTGGTACCGCTCCCGATCAGCTGGGGCTATCCTGGCCAGCCGGGACCGATTGACCACCGATCGACGAGTCGACATCTATTCTTGGGAGCTGATCGGCTCGTTTTTCTCGCCGCTGGGAGAGGCGGCCACTGTGCCGGAAACTCGCCGGGGAAGAGTCGACTACGAGTTTGGAGGAAGCTGGAAGCTCGAACGAAGAAGTCCGGATTTTATAGGAATTCTTAAAGAATTCTAGAAGAATTTTTCAACCAATCCCTGGAGGTCCTGGATGTGACGAGGAGGTTCCTCCCACCGTTTTGGCGACTTCGAAGAATTATTTGGATAATTGGACACTCGTGGATGATCCTCGTGAACTAATTCGTCATGTTCTCCGTGGTTGCCGTGTGAGGTCAGGAGACCGGAAGTGCCGGAATTTTTGGGAAAGGGAATTAGAGGAGTTAGGAGAGACTCGAAAGACTGCAATCATGGCGACTACCGAGGTCTTTCAGGACTGGGACTCGCCCCACGAAAATCTTTCCTCGATGGGCTCCAGGAAGACTACCAGGAAGACCACCACCACGACGACGAAGACGACCACGAGGAGGGAGGTAAGGCTGGAGGAAACTTTGACACGTTGTCCATGCGGTGGGTTCATTCCATAAAACCTAAAATTTCGGAAAATGTCAGCGCTGGTCATTGGGATGTTAATTTACCGTCTATTAATAATTAACGCGGTTTGATTGAAAAATCCCTCCACGGATATAGCCTTAATTTATTTCTTAAGCGGGAAGAAATTGTCAAATACGTGATAACGGGCTTAAGTTGCGGTGCAGTTTCTTCCTTGCTACCAGGATGTGGTGTGAAAGAAGATAATATTTATTTAACTATTATAACCCGCGACTGTTGCGACTTCGGCACGTTTTAGTAGTCAGGAAATTGCGCGGGGAGGTTTTAGCGGGAACACGGTGAAACGTTGCTTACAATTGTGCACGTCTACATCCTCGTATGTATATAAACTATTTCCCTACATTCATCTGACGCATTTGGAGTAGTCGCATATTTTATTGCGCTCCTAAGTTGAAGGACGACGTGGATCGCTGAAGATGGGAGCGCTTCGTTCGGTCCACGTTTTAATGTATGCAGATTTCTCCGTTTTTGCCAATACGACGTATGGGGATCTTCCGGCCCAAGATTTCCACCTATGAATAGATAAATGCGTGTACCGTGACAAGAATGCGCGGGCGATTTCTGTAGGATCTTTGCCAAGACCCAAGGTCGCTAATCTGGTCTGAAGCGCGATCACGGACGGGCAATTCGCAGGTTTTCGACGTGACGTTCAGAGAAATCGGCGAGCAGAGGGTGCCCGAAGTGGCCGGTCCCCAAGTTCCTCGGAAGCTGGGCCAGAGATGGACCCGGAGATCCTCGGACCACTGCACAAAAAGCTCCTCATCCAAATGCGCTTTATCGTCTTGGCCGCCGATCCCTCTCGGCGACTCCGTTTCGCGATGACGGAGGATAAATAACAAAGAACACTTGGCAGGGACCGTGGAAAATTTCGATTTTACCGCTACCGAATTAACTTAATTTTTTTTTTTTTTAATTTTAGAGAACGCTTCCTTCTCTTGAGCTAACGTGACAGCTCATGCCGCGGGAGGATCCACGTTCCGAGGAAATTCCTTGGAGCTTGATCTCTCAAATTGTTGTTCCATTGCCCAAGAAACTCGCACTCGAGGTAATGGGAACGACGTTAAGGTCCTTGGTATTTATTTTAATATTTTACATTTTAGAAGAATTTCTCTATTCGTTTGAGGGAAGAATGCCTTCGATGGTTAACCGTTGCTTCGCGGATGAACAACGGATTTTTTTGTCGGATAATGTCGTGATAGAGAATGTCATGGCAGGATCGTATCCAGGAAGCTGATGTCTCTTAATCTTTCTGCCTTTGTAGCCTAATGTAACCAAACATATTTTCTGCAGTACTCGACTTTCTGCAAAAGTAAAAATTTCATATAAACGATGGTGCTTGTTACTCTAAGATGCAGGAACGAAATTAATTATACTGTACGTTGCATTTCACGGCGAACCACCTAGTTTGGCACCAATAGCCTGGTCCGAGGGTGCAGGGATTTCCAATTTTCTAAAATACAGTATTTTGTTTACATGAATTACTTCTTTTCTTTGGATTAGATGCAGATCGTCGTCGACAAACGCTTAAATTAATACATTAATACTACAATTAATTGCAACACTGTTACACTTATTTACCCCTCCCGTAACATCGACTGCAGCAACTATCTGAATGCCAATTACAAGTATAAGAAAACATAGCAGTAGCTCCTTCATTTCTAAACAAAAAATATTGCTAACACTGGTTAAGAACTTACGATAAGCACACTTTAAATATTATCCTTATATACCCAACATACATTCTTATCATTTACGAAGATATCGTGAGCCACCGAAATGTCATTCGATTTTTTTTCTTATCTTTTTAACGCGCACGACTAACATTAGATATTTCACATCCGGCTAACAACTGGGTCTCATTGCATTATTAATTCTTTTTTTTTTTTGTTAAATTAACAATTGTAGGTACTCGACAGTTCCCCAGGGAATTAAATTTAAAATGTACAAATCGTCCTAGCAATGTCCCCATTTCTTATAACATGAGCTTGGAACTTAAAGAGCTCGATAATTCCGGTGCAAGTAATTTCTGCACTATTTCTAGCCTTACGAGACTCCTTTCTCTTAGTCTCTGACTATCTCGGATTCTCATAATTTTCGTAGGGCCTCTGGCATAAGATCACGATCCACGAGAAGATCAACGAACTATCGCCTGGGACCGCGGTAGATAGTAAATTATTCCAGCCTTTTGAGACGCGTGGGTGCCGGAATTATGACATATGCGATGACAGTGACACAAGAGTGTTTGCGTTACCAAGACCGTCTTTGAACCAGGATAGTCCTTGCACCTACGAATCTAGGTATACTTGTTTCCTCGCGCCGCGTTTCAAGTACACCTCACACTCATTATCAGTAGCGACGGTATAATAATTTAAAATTCCTCCCAGAATTTCTCTTTTCCTTCATCGGGGTTTCACGTGGAATAATTTCCATCTGACCGGGCAGAAGCGGTATCATTGCATTTTCGGCAATCATTTCATCGAATTTCCCGACCAGCTTTATCCACCGTTAATGCTCGTTTTCACGTCCTCTATTTCGGATAAGCGGGAGGGAAATGTTTTTCCGCGGGAATTTCGGTATCTCTCGATCCCGGATTGACATAGGGTAAATTTCGCTTTGGCCCGGCTGCCTGACGCATGCTGCACTTTATCACTTGCAACATGAATAAGCAAATCATGCCGCGAGCGGTGCGTACTCGTGATGACACGATCAGTGGAAATGGAATATTCGGCCAGACTTCAAATATCTGCCCGGCTGGGATTTCTCGTTTTTATTTGCGCACCGGCCACGTTGCATTTAGCCTTCTTCGAAATATTCCGGCGATAAACAAAATTTCTTGGCCGTTCCGACATTACACCTTTACCTATGCCTTAAATTTATGTTTCCGTTCTTAGAGATTTAAACCTCCGTAAGCTATATTTCGGGTGCAGCGGACGTGTGCAAAAATCGCCGTTTAATCTAAGGTCACGCATCTCTTAGCCACGTTCTAGCCTAATTGGAAAAAAGCAAGGTTCACTTTTCGGATGGAATCCATCGCCTTTTGAATAATCGATCTCGATTCAGATACGAAAGAAGCCGGACGTCCGGAGTTTCGATTTATGCGATCGAGAAAACGGCCACCCTGTTTTCCAAAAATATCGCGGCGCGCTTCTTCGAGTCGTTCTATCGATTCACCCGAATATTTTTGGCCCTCTAACCTTGGGGTCGGTCTGAATTTTACTGCGTAAAAAATACCCTCGGGATTTCAATTAATAATCATTTCGTGCCCACGGAATCAACCGTGCATACCCTCGTTGAATTTCGAGCCTTCAGTGCCGGGGTAGAGAAATATTAATTTTTTTATCTAACGATACTTTTCCGGAAATCGGTGGGATTTACATGGAAGGATTCCAGAACGTAACAATAGCACTCGCGGTAATACCCGGTCGACGACTTTGGATTGCCTAGAATCCAACGGTTTCGAACATGTTCACGTATCCACGGATCTGGGTTGCACGGTACATAAATAATCTTACGTGTCAATTTGATCTAAGTTTAGAGCGACTTTAAAGCGATACCGATGTGAACGTGCTAGCACGTAAACCTCGGCTACTGGAGCTATCGTTGGTTCTCAATCCCGGAAATCCAATTATTTAAGGGAAGTCGAAATTGTGCGGATTCCGTGCTAACGAAAAAAAAATAAAAAATAAAAAAAACGAAAATATACACCCCACGTGGTTGCGCCCGCTATAAACGTACACGTGGCATTTGAGGTTCTCGATGACAACCGTACAGAGAAAAACGCTAGACATTTTGTTCTTCACCGATATGTCTAAATGTCTCTTAGTGTAGGAAGGTTTTTTTATGCGAATAACAAAATGTTGTGAATTGTTAACAAAGAGGTCGGTCGCGGGAAAAGTGAGTATCGCCAGGACAAAGAGATCCCTGAAATTTTCTCTTTCCTTTTGTGAGGCGAGTCGGCAATTCCGCGAAGCGGGACGACGGAAAGCGACACGCGCGTCTTCCGCTGCGGAACGCGCGCGAAGGCCGCGCGCCGCGAGATGCGGATTTTAAAGGTGCAGCTGCATCCCGCAACTGCGCCGCCTCGAAGTCGCGCTATTAATGGCGCGAATCGAAATACCGCAGGCTGGGTTGACAAAGGTCAGGATGCAGATGTACGTGATCTAAGCACGGAGCTTAATGGAGTTTTTCCGGCGACCCATCCGAGCTTCGGCTGCGCACGAAGACGCTTAACCAGACGGATTAGTTAGGCTAAACTTGCGGGGAAACTCGCGCGGCCGAGAGAACTCTCCAGGATATTAATGAGTCGCGACTGCAGGGATGGGAGTAATTAGTCAGTGCTACCTTATGTTCCCGGCGATGCGTGAGAAATGGGTGGGAAGTGGACGATAAAGGGGAGAGAGCTCGGATGAGAATGTCACGTGGGACTATATTGATAGACTGCAACTGCAACGGTTCGACTAATTGGCCGATGCGGTACATCAGTTGTTTCCGCATCAACGCCGGGAACCCCAACAATGATAAGTTCCCCAGACGTTGAGTTCTTCATTTTTTTCTTCACCCATCTTAGACGCCTCCATTGCCCCTCAGAAATTTAACGAAGCTTCCTATTTCACTCGTGTACTTCTCCCATTTCTCATCGGTTAATTCTTTAAAATTGATATCAAATGTTCACATATTTCCAAATAAACGACAGTTACGATCCACCCGAAACAGTGGAAATGTTTTTAATACACATTTTTAATAGGCGGTATTTTTTCTTTTTTCTTAGGAGCAGGGTGTCTAATCAGTCATTAGAAATTATTGGGTGGCGATCTTTCGGATCTCGTTCATGACGCACTCGGTTAAGCGAGTTTTCTTACTGTTGACACAACTGTTGCACTAACACTCATTTTCTATCCTACAAATATAGCTATACTTAATTTCTACACACGTCCGTGCAACCTGTGCCGACTATTGAAATAGCTACTACCACGTCTAGCGACTATTTCAACGTCTTTCTCGTTAAAAAAAGAAGCTACGAACCCGGTTCTAAATACGGAGCGGACATATCAGATTGGACAATGCCGTCGCATAATGCGAGGAGAAAGAAAAGAGAGTGAAAGTAAGGACTAATAATAGTCGCCGTGACGATGGGTCTAATTAACGGCGCGGAATGCACTTTGCATTTCGACGCATTCCGTCGGTACGTCAGACGATATTGATAGGCCGCAACTGCATCGCGGCGGCCAATTAGTCGCAGACGCACACGAGTGATCGCACGATCGATCTCGATCTGCACCACGGTCCATCGATAGATCGGATCGCCGACAATGCCGGAACGATTTAATCCCGATCTGCCAACTAACGTCTTACACGAATCCTCGTTTGCGCCACTTGCCAAATGGTACTTTACAACTTGATTATTAATAGCTACGAGAAATTCTTTAAAAAAAAGAAAAAGCGACCCGCTGCGAGGATTCTCGATGAAATCAAATGCAATTGGCATTCTGCAGGTGCGCGCTGTTCGATGCACTTCTCGTCGAGCTTTTCACTCTCCGCGCCAATCGCCGATGTCATCCTTGGGAAGAGTCGTGGGCGGGAACCTGATCTAATTCGTAATTTAGCCCTGAAAAGTGGAGCAGCCGCCTCGTAAAGAGACCTCGCGACACATGTGGCCAGTAAAGAGGGTTTTCTCGCCGACTCGAAGTGCATCGCCAAGTGCAGTCGAGGAGCTTTACGGAAAAAGGCCAATTTTGCCGTAAATTCGGATCTCATGCTTCCCTAATTGAGCCTCTTTCTTTATAGATGGCTTCGCGATTATCCGCCCTAAATATCTCCCGATACTTGCACTTTTGTACAGAGTTGTTCATTACATGGAATTAGAAATAGAAGGCGGGTACAATTTTTCACGATCTTAGCAACTAGTCACGGTTGTCGGGCCTCAACCTTTGATGTCCCACGGGGCTAACGCGAAACTAAGAGGCTTAAGATCTAAATGTGCCAAAAACGAGCCGAAGCCTCCCACAAATGATCAACATCTGTCTCGCGGGCATGTATCATCTCCGAAGCAGTTTATAGTGATCCGCCAGAAGGGTGGCTGGATACAATGTAGTAACTGTAAAATATGGTGCCATGAATGCTGCTCGCAACTCATCATACGAAAGGAACTATCCGTGCGGCTTCTGCAAACCGTAGTTATTTAACCTCCCCCGGAACGACTGCAAAATCATGGGAGAAACTTAACTGCCATCCAATTCGTCGCATATATGTCGCGGTGAAAAATATGCCCCGCCTTCTGTCATAAATCGCGTTACATTACAACCCTCGGAATTCTTGACCAGAATCTTAATTCAATTTCGAAAACTTAACATAAGCGCCATTCTCGCGTTACTTCGTGCCACCGTCTATCGCTCTATCCTCACTTTGCCTTCCTAAACATTCTTAATTAATATTCCCGATTAATACCGGATTAAAAAAAACGCAGGAAATCACGAGCGGAATATAATCAAGCGATTTACTATCCTCGAGGCTTACGGTATAAATTAATCGGTCTTGCCTCGCACATCGTACAACACCTGGAAATTGCATTTGATTTCCCGCACGCGCGACGAGGGTGCGTCTTCGTCATCGCGTCAAGGTGCACAGGTAGCGTATACATTACGCCCCAGGCGCACCCGTTGCGTGTATTTCCTGCACATACAGGTAATACAGGTGTGTCGAGACGCGTGCGTTAAGCCGCAAGTAACGTGGACGTGTTCACGTTACGGTATGCCGAACACTCGCTGCGTCCCACGCGTGGGAAACGCAGCGACGACGAACGACCGCATCCGCCATCGCCCCGAAGGACCCGCTGGATGACGTTCATTTCTGATATGGCTCCATTGTGTCCAGAACGAGCGTCGAGCGGCTCATTCCGTGAAATTAACGAAGCCGGCGATAATGGCGAACTCGTGCTCGATTACGCGACCTATGGCCGCGCAAATGTCACGGCCCTGGGAGGCGTTGTTCCCGGGTGTTGCGTTCTTCGACATCGCCTCGTCGAGACAACAATTCCTATCCATCAGCTGATCTCTCAGCGCGCCCAGGTGCAAAAATCTTGTTCTCCACGTCTTTCACGGCTGGTATTGCCGAGGCCCATGGTGCTCTATAAATGAAAAATATGTGAATCGATATTCTAATTTCGATAACGCGACGCTTGACCGTACAAGTATGGTTCTCGGTGTTGGGTTCTTCGGAATTACCTTGCCGAGACAATTCCTATCCGTCAGCTGATCTCTCAGCGCGCCCAGGTGCAAAAATCTTGTTCTCCACGTCTTTCGCGGCTGGTATTGCCGAGGCCCATGGTGCTCTATAAACGAAAAATATGTGAATCGAAACAGGAAATTCTAATTTAGATTACGCGACCCTTGACCGTACAAGTATGGTTCTCGGTGTTGGGTTCTTTGGAATTACCTTGCCGAGACAATTCCTATCCGCCAGCACGCCCAGGTGCAGAAACCTTGTTCTCCACGTCTTTCACGGGTGGCACCGTCGAGACTTCATTTGCATTTTTCCCGTGTAGCTGGCACGGTGCTCTAGAAATGGAAAATACGAGTTACGGAAATGCGAGAATCGAAGCGGATAATTACAGTTTCTATATGTTAAAAATGGCCCCAACTGAGACGCGCATCTTTAATCGGGTGGAGTGGTTGTTGGTACTCGTGTTAATTTGCGAACCCGCTCAAGATACTTTCCTTGCCGAGACCTAGTTATTCAGGGGGAAGTTTTTACTTGTTTTCTCGGAGAGAGACGGGGAAGACAACGGACCAGGGGGTCGAATGGTAGAAGTATAGTCGGGGAGGAGTAGACGAGGCGATAGTGCGAGGTTTGGTTCGATATGCGCCTCCCATGGGAACGGATGGAGGGAATTGGTGCTCGACGGTTCCACCATTCCCACGGAGCTCGACCGGCAGAAGGAAGTGAACTGCCGGTCCGAAAGATTCGTAACTGTTACAAAATGCGGCGAGCGAAGGAAAAAGACTGCACCGGGCACAAAACAAGGCGTTACGAAACGGAAGGATCAATGCTTCGCTATATAATCGAAATGAAAAATAAAGAGCGTTCTTAAGGTCCGAAGGTTTTATGTGATATCGGTCATCCATGGGTTTGGCTCGTTCTGGAGGGATAATATTTAATGTCGATGTGAAGCCATCCTACAAATATGGAGCTGAGCTCGTCGCTCTGAATGTGACATTTCTAGAAGTTCGCCGGGGGCGAGCGTCTTATTCCCCTCTTTTTCTCTTTACAACATCCGAGACCTTGTCAGGGCTTATCTACTAACATCTACGCACTTCACGGAGACGTATGTCTCTCTTTCCTCGAGATTTCTTCGGCTTTCTGGTGAAGCACGTAAGCCTCATTATGCCGCGTCCTAATATGGGAAGTTACCCGGGAAATAAGTTACGCAAATCACTTGAAGAAACTCCTAGAGCCATTCGCACTAAAGAAAATAAAATACCAAAAAATTAGAAGCAAGAATGTCAGTTTCGAAACGAAGTCGCGTCGATGGTTATTTATCCCATCGTTTCATTTTTCAATGTTTAGGGGAGGATTTAACGTAGGCAGCTGATCTCCGAATTACGAAACCGTGAACCCACTCTCTTGGGACCTCTCGTAATTGCGTTTCCTTATAAATTCGTTCTCATCTTGACGACTCATCTAACACTTCGCCTTTCTCTTAACGACGCTTTGTTTTTTTCCTTTTCGGGGCGAAGTGTGAAAGTGGAAAGATGGAGTAACAGGGTTTGTTAAGCCAAATAAGTCTAATCTCCTTGGACTCACGTTACGGGCGGCGAATTGAGCTTTTCTTATTTGTTAAACGGTCTTATATAAAATGGACGGTCAATATTCGGGTACTTTGATAAGAAGTGGTCGACTAGGTCGCTACGTCGGGAATCTAGACGCATCGGCTGTTTATTCGCAAAAATGGCAATTACTCGTTATCAAACCGTTGCTGTCCTTCGATCGGCTGTTGCACCAAAACGGAGTGAAAGTCTGTAGACTGTACTCGAGTGCAGTCTGTATACTTCCCTACCACCGGTCTCACAGTTCCACTACTCCATGACTTTAACTCTCATCGAGTTTCAGCGTAACACTCAGTTGTTTAGTGACGTTCGCTTCGGAAGCTACTCCGCGGACTGTCGTCGCGATTATTAAACAACGTACAGCATTTGCGCCTAATTTCCCCCTCGAACAATAAGATCATTGGCGTGTAAAAGTGACACTTTGACCTCGCCATTTTGGAATTACACTTCGTGGTAAAGTTGCCTCGTAAGTAAACGACTTCTTAGAAATTCTTCATTAAATTATCGTTATAATTAAGTATATATAAATATAAGTAGAAGAATATTTTTTGCGCTTCTGTGGACATTTCTAACTTATCCGAGTTAACTGATATCGTTACACGATTGCACGTTTCTAACGCATGGATATGCCGGAGATCACTGACCTACCATAACGTGTCTTCGTGCATCCGGCGTTGCACGTGCTTGCAGATCTATGTACTAGGTTTGATGCAATTCGATATGCGATTGGTCACATTAAACAGGTATTATCGCCTCGCTCTTTTTCTTTTTGAGAGGAAATTTAGAGATACTTTATCGATTTTTTTATCCTAAAGGTCAGCTGCCGACATGCAATTATCCCCTAATTGATTTCTATTTTGCAATTTATATTTAATGTAGTGTTATCGGATGCAACGTACGAAGTCCTCGTTATCATTCCGTTCGCGTTTCGTTTGAACGTTTATCGATCATTGATCGCTTCGGTTGATCTATGTTGCGACCTACTCTGTGCTCGCATTTCCTGGACTGATCGATGCACTTTCTCGATCGTGAATCTTTCACGCTTTCCACGATCGGGTCGTTCCAGATTGTCACGACTATTTAGTAGCAACCTGACGATTTGTTACGGTGCTCCTGGTTGCTATAAAAGGCCAGTGCGATCAAGAAAATCGTTTCAACATCCGCTTGGGTCGGTCCAGTATCCACGAAGTCGTTTCACATCACCGATAAGGCAAAGCTTACATAAAGTTATGGAGCCGAACAAAGGACTCTTTATCATGACCCACTGATTGTTGAAATGTAATCTCCTCCATGCGTTTAAAATTTCCTAACGAACCAAACCATTGCCGATTTGATATTTTCAAAAGTGCCGGTGAAAGAAAAAAACATGCCACTTTAATTCCGTTTCCATATAAGCTGCGTAATAAAAATAAATAAATGCACAACTAACGGATACCTCAGGCGTGTAAATATCGCCGTTTAAATCCTGCATTCTTTGCATGGGTAATTAATGGCATCAGCTATTTAACTGTTAAGTAACCACGTATCGAACTCGCGTCGTGCCGTCATGTCTACTCGTTTTGCTAATTAGAGAGCTCGCTTAAAGCTTCCCCGACATAAAAGTCGTGGGTGTGATGTGCATACGGCCATGTTGAATTAGCCATTTATCCTTCGAGATTAAATTAAAGTCGACATCATATTACAATATCATCCGGCGTCCCAGGACTCTTTAAACTCGTAGGCGTCTATTTCTTTCCGAGCGTCCGTACCGAAATAGCCGCTTTGTCCTCATCTCTAAATTTCATCGTGTCTTTAAATCTTAAATACGAACGTCCTAGTCTGCTCCGGTTATATAATAAATCGGAGTGTGAGCTCGTAAGCAAGTTACATGTGCATCGCGGTAATCGCTTCATGCGATGGTAGGAATCTACAAATGACAATAATTACACCGTTTACATTGTTTCCCTTTACAACCTTCCTGACGGTATTTACGCCACGCGTAGATGCGTTTAGACGTTTTAGCACCTGATACTAGAAATACCTACGGAATAGCCGTACTTTCTTCCCAACGGCGCATTCGGCGAGCGTTACACCGCAAACCGGGGGAAAAAACGGCAGCGCGGTTTACGAGCGGTTTTGTTCTCGCAAAAACCCGCGTTCCCTTTTCCGCTTGCTCCTAATGACGTCGTTGCTCAAAGAAGACGTGTCGTCGGCGTCAATTCAACGATCCACGAGACCCGTTCGAGAGCAATTTAGCCCATAATTTAAACCTCGTTTAACGCGCACGGGTCGTTGAACGGCAACGCACACCGTGTAACGCGGTTTTGTCCAGAGACCGCAAAGTGGATCGTCGAGAAAATGCGAGATCTCGAGTGTCCCCGTAGCCAGGGTAGTCGGAAGATTGCGTTATTTAGATAACTGACGAGCACGTAGGTAGCTTCCATCAGTCCCGCTCGTGAAATCACAACCCCGACATCCGGACCGTGACTACACTCGCAATTGTTTATAATAACTACCTGCCCGTGACACTTTAAATGCTGGGTGTTGCGATTTAGTGTTCCGAGTTGCATCTTGGTCCCACTCTAGGCTTACATGCTTTTGGTTGCCCGAAAGATGAGGTACCTTCCACCACTGCCAACCCTGGGATGGGTAACAGGAAAACTCCATTAAGCTCTCCTTGAAGAAGCCTCTACAAATTATTTACGATTAATAAAAGTTTCTACTAAATATATAAATATCAGGTTTTACTGTATTCTTACTAATTCTTACCATTGACATTGCGATCGAGATGGAGTCTTTGGATGCAGACATGCACGCACCGTAAGCAAGTATAACAGATTGAGCAAGTACGCTCTCGATTATGGCCGTTGGCCATATGGACTCCGGGAAATGGCTCTTCCACGTCGATAATAACCAGTTAACGACGGTTGAACGGCACCTAGGTCGTCGTACCTTGGTCTGGGTGCGATATGAGTCGTGGTCCACATATCGTCTACTGTTATATCAGTAATAGGCAATTCTCGCGTGCAGCGAACCTATTGTCACGCGAGTGCATAGGGAATCTGGAGGCGTGTTTCCTGCCCCTTGGCCGAGAACATTTCTGTCATAATGACTACAGAGAGATGCGGTATCTGGATCAGAAATGAACGCTTCCTCATTTTTTCATTCCATTTTACCTTTCATAGTTGTATTCACTTGGACTCTCCGAGCTGTGACGGATGGTTTACATATGCAGTTTATTTTTTCCGCCCAAAGGGAACCTCAAATTGACCGGTTCATCCATCCACGCAGTGGGTGTTCCCGTGCATTTAATGTAGAAAGGTATAAAAAGAAAGCTTGCCGCAAATTTTTCACTCCTTCCCTGGGAAAAAGTCCGTCCCAGTAGCGAAGAAGGGGTGAGCTACTTTCCAGAAGTATAAATAGAAAATATTTCCTTACTTCGGCCTTGTTTCAACTTTTGCACTTCTTTCGGCCTTCCAGTTGACTTGGACTCGCCAATTCCACGGAGGGAACTCTAGATTTATCGTCTCGAGGAGCGAGCCTTATTAACGCATAAATTTCAAGGAAACTGAAGGCGCCTCTTGCTGAGCCCTTGACTGAGAAAAACCCGACGATGGCGCAGGAAAGCCGCGACTTTGCCGGAGGGGAAATATCTGCTATTCTTTTACTCCGGGTGGATTTAATCGCCGCACTTATTTAGACTTGACGCGTCTGGAGGGTCCAGACATGGCCGAGACGATTCGTCGTCGCCCAAGGAAACCTGGAAATAGATGCAAAGGAAGTCAAAGGTCGGCGCTAGTACCTCGTTTTTAGCGTTAAAAGACGTCTTTTATCTTTGGCCTTTGGATGCCTAAAAGACGTATCTTAACGCTAAAAGTGAGCCGCGAGTACGAGCCAAAGGGACGGAGAGAGACAGAGAGAGGGAAGACCCGTAGAAATGAATGAGCGCGAAGGTCTAAATATATGCCACCTTTCATACCCCACCGAACAGACTCCTTTATTTTCTCGTTTAGTTGCCGGGACGTTGCCGCCTCCCCGGGGGGAAAGTGCCGTAAAGCCGATTTATCTCAACGAAATGACCCGAAGATTTTAAAACTCACCGTTCCGTTTCCGGGATGCTCTCTTGTGCGGATGAAAACCGCCGTCCACGACTCCGGGCAATCCGCGCGGCCCCTCGCTTAACATCACATACCTGAAACAATGCTCTAACATATACACTCAACATAAATAAACACCTAGCATGCAAATAACAATCGAATACCCTCACATTAACCGAAAATAGAGAGCACGATTGCACTCGTCGCACATTCTTCGCTTTAATGATGTAGTTCCATTTCTTTGGCCTTGGGCGTTATCTTTTAGTAAGTTTTCCTACGTGGAATGTCTCGTTCGATTAAATATTTGCTTGAATTTATTTCTTATCGAGTATTTTATATTTTCAACGCCAAGTCGTGTGGTAGTTACTCATTTCGTTAGGACTCGACGGTTTCGGCGCCATATACGAAGTGGCGCTCCAGGGTAAAGTCGCAGCTGCGCGCGCATCGCCATTAGCGGCCGATTCAAATTCCGGGGAAGGGTTAACGAATTCCCGCCACGATGGCGAACGATGGAAATTGGCTTTCAGGGTTTCTCGCGATCGGCGAGTTTCCGATGCCCGGTCGATTCTTTCGGCCAGGAAAGAAAGTCGGCTCGGACGACTCGTCGGGGAGTCATTATTAATACGGGCCTAGGTCACGGGCGGCGGATCGTCGTTGGTGCCGGCTAGTTAGTTCGCAAGAAGGCCAGTGGCCGCGCTCGTGCTCACTATAAATAATCATGGCGTGGGGATGTCCAAGTATAGCCCGTTGGGAGTGTGCCAGCCTCCGAGGAGGCTTCGGCTATTTCTGCTCCTGTCGCCGTTAGCGCTACAACTCGATGTACTCCAATCAAAACCGCGGTACCGGGACCGGGGTGCCATCTCGCGGACCGCCGCGCTCGGCTCTCTCTCTCTCCCTCTCTCTCGCACGCCCGCTCGCCGCATCGCGCTTTCTCCGTCGCTTTACCTTTAGCGCGTGACCTTGGCGCACGTTGGCAGGTAGAAGGATGGAACTCGGAATTCGCGGTGCTCGACATCGGCCTAAGAGCGCGTGTTTATGCCGGGTCGCTACCTCGATTATTCCCAATGGAAGTCTTAGATGAAAGTTAATGACCGATTCTTATATGAGATTTCCTTGGATTTCCTGCATCCAAGAATGAATATTTTTTTTTATCAAGCTCCGCAACGCATGTCACGATTCCATTGAAGGTGTCAACAGCTTTACTCCCTGTCTGAATAGAAAATGCATTCCATGACGGCGGGAGTAGACAGTTAATATTAGTCGTTTTCGAGAGTGGCTATAAAAACTGAAAGCACCCAGGGGAAAATGTCGGAGATGAGATTCGAAAATAGCAAGGCCACGATGCGTCGATGCAACCTGCTGTCATGTCTTATGCATGTACCCCGCGAAATTGTATGCGCACTGGCATGAAAACATTCTTGGGCTAGAATGTAGGGAATGGAAACCAAGTTTAAATGCATTCTACGTTTAATTTTGGATCGGTAAAAACTTTAATACCATTCTTTCGTGTCTATTTAAGAAAAGAACTCTAACTTAGAGTCAGAAATAAGATGCGCCATTTTGTAGGATTTATTGATAAATACTAACGCGGGATTGCAGTAAATCATGAGAGAGGTTGATACCAAATTCACGTTATACATGTTTGAATATAATTGAATAGTATTGCTTTTTGAAGGTAAACCAAGCGTTTCGCGTTAACACTACTTACTGATTCCTTTAAAATTCCCGCTAGTTTAGCGCCGTGGCGTCGATATGTGCGCGATGTGGATGCGCGTTAGCTTCCTCACGGCCCCGTACGTACCATAGTCGGTCCGTCGTAAGTCACGGGTCATCTAATTAGTAGGTCATTTTTTATTAATCCCCTGTATCTTCCCACGGTTTCATTGGCGGCTCTCGAAAGGCCTTATTTAGCGGCTTAATTGATTGCCCGCTTAAATACCGAGTGAGTTTACTTTAACGTCCCGTTGTTCGGCGTGACTTCTGGTACCCTTCTTGTCAAGTTACCGCGAATAGGTTATGCTCGACAAAGGGCGCTGCCGCAACAGCGGTGTGGTCACCGTCGGTCAGTGAAGTGCGTGTCCATGGAAAGAAGAGGGTGAGGATTTTAATTCCGTTAATTTTTCACCGAGGATTTCCCTCCTGGACGCGCCCGATTCTTTGACGTTTCCGGAGAAGGAGAGAGGACGAATTAACGAGGCTCCGTAAGTCGCGAATATCCATCCTTCTGTCCACGGGAAGTTCTATGCGTCGCCTGTGCGTGGGTTGCCAATTTGGCAGGCTAGTTGTCAATGAAAATCAATGCGAAACTATCCAGGTCAAAGGGCATCGGTCTCATTGGATGTTAGCCGAAATTAACAGGCAGTCCTTCGTTTCACGACCAGTCGAGCACGGTCCATGAAACCAACGACTATTGACAAATCGTTGTCGGACGTGGAAAGTCTCTGTTTAATGGGATTTCGTTCAATGTGGTTCCTACAATTTTGTTCAAGTGTGATTCCAGCTCGTAGACTTCGGATCAATACTGTGGACTTTGAAAGAAAAAAACTGAACGTCGGTGGAATTTGCTGAAATTGAAATTCTCCTCAGTAAATGAGGAAACAATCCTGCGATAATCTTTCGTCTGAGAATTTCTATTTGTGCATCGAAAGTTTTAGTTCTTTTATATCAAGCGCTTCTGTGAAAATTACAGTTTGTAGGCGTGACTTCGTTGCATACATTCGGTCCGATAGTTCTACGCAACGGGAACAATTTTCAATTTTAATGGAATTTGGTGTAGTTTTTTAAAAATTTTGTCGCGCATGCAACTCTATCGCTTAAATTTGTTTGGGGTCAATTACGTATAAATTGATGAAAAGAAATTCAGAATTGAAACAAGCATTAACTAGACCTTGGAAGTTATTAAAACCATTTTAGTCAAGGCCCATGACTCATAGACTAAAGAGTGGCCATAAAAGTGCTGCGCAATCTTAAATTGAGCGTTAATATTGGAAATATCCTAGGGGAATATTTAAGTAAGGCTGAAATAAGAGTTTGTGGCATTACTTTTGTCTTTGGAGAAAGGCAATCCTTCAAGATGTTTAGGGTAGTTTTCTTTATTCGTTACCGATCGCATGCAATGGTAAAATAGTTATTTATTGATTTCTAATTTGTCTTTTCCAGACTTCGGCATCTACAAAAACCACTACCATGACCACGGCAGCAAAGCTATATGGCAAAGATTTAAGTGAATATGACGATGTCGATGTAGATGAATTATTATCCCAGCTGTCTCCAGAGGAGATCAATATATTAGCCAAAGAAGTAGATCCTGATGTAAGTAAAAGTCATTAATTGTATGGTTTTATAAAAAAATTTCTAACAAAAAGGTTGAATGTAATACGTGTAATACATTTTAATCATAATTTTGCTTGCAATCTAACGCAGATGCATAGGTTTTAACACACCGTGCAGGCTGTGCCAATTAAACATTTCTGTTATTCTCTTAGGACAGTTTTATGCCACCGTCGCAACGTTGCAGTTACGAGTGTGACAAGGATCCCACGGGTCCGCTCAACCGCAAAAAACTCATTGAACACATCAACAAACAGGCTCTGGAGACACCTGATATTCCAGAGCTGAAACCATATGTACCAGGTGTCATCCGAGGCAAGAAAGTACGTAACCCATTCTCTTATACGTTAAGATATTTAAAGACGTATTACATTAATATTTGTTATTTATGTAATGTGCATTTTTTAAAAATTACTTCATGTTGAATTTTCTTCAACTATCAAATTTATTGATACAATGTAGGGAATCACAATGAACTATACATACATGTTCCAAAGCTTCTTATTCTTGTATAACACAGTTGAAGGTCTTCTTCCATAATCCCTAAGGTATATGCACTTAGAGGAACTTCTCAGAAAGTGTATTATTAAACGTGAAAAATTTATTTTCTACCTGTTTAAAACATAGATTATTTTATTTAAAAAGTGCACTTGTGTAGGACAAAATTAAATGAAAAATGTTTGTGTTTTTAGTGGATTCCACCACCACAAGAGAATGCAAAAGAAAAAGAAGCAGACGAACAAATTGCTATCGATTTAGGAGAAGAGTATGAACAAGCTTTATCAGCTGCCACTCAAGAAGAGATCATTGACCTTGCTGGTATGTTTATAACACTTGTTTTAACAATTCCAACGACTGAAGTGCAATGTCTGAGTCACTACTTGTGTATAGCTTATACTTATATAAGTGATGAACATTGGGTAATATATTTGTTCTATTTAGCTATCCTGGGTTTCCACTCAATGATGAATCAAGATCAGTATCACGCTTCCCTTTTGAATTCTGGACAACCCGTTGGCCTTGGTTGGGATGGTATCACAAAAGCCAGTCAACCAAAGGTGTATCCAATGGAACCTCCAAATGACACAGATGTTGACGCAACTATTAAACAAGTTCGGGACGATGACAGTTTGTTGGTAGACTTAAATTGGAACAATATAAAAGTAAGCGAAATTATGATTTTCGGAAATGTTGATCTAAATGCAACCCAAAACCGGTTGCTCCTATTTCATAATAATGATCTCATTTTAGAACATTTCGGACGAGAAATTCATTCAGCTGTTCGAAGCGTTAGAAGTTAACACACACCTTGAGTCCTTGAGTTTGACAAATGTAGGACTCACCGACAAGACTGCTCTCCGACTGGCGGATGCCATTGAAAAGAATTCCACCCTCAGAGTACTGAAGTGCGTTTTCTTCATTTTATCTTCCATTTCGTTAATGTTTCATAATTTTATTAACTGCACATAAAAATTTCTGTAATCAAGGTTTTTTTAAACTTGTAGTTCAAATCAGAATTTCTGTTCTGTTTCAGCGTGGAAACAAATTTTATTAGCCCATCTGTGATAGTAAGGCTTATTAAGGCTCTTCTCAAAACAAAATCCATCGAAGAATTCAGATGCTCGAATCAGGTATATTATCCATCTCCACCCTTTCAGTGGTATAAAATATTAACAAATGGCAGAATTGATAACCGTTTTGTTTTCATAAATACAGAGATCGCAAGTCCTGGGTAACAAAATTGAAATGGAAATCACGCAGTTGGTGGAACAAAACCCAACGTTGCTACGGTTGGGTCTTCACCTGGAATTCAATGACGCCCGACATCGTGTCGCTGCGCATTTACAGCGCAACATCGACAGGAGTGAGTATTACATCACGAAAGTAGTTAATTTCTTGAACAAAAATATTGGGCAGAGACGAGAGTACAAAAGTTGGTAGTGATTAAACATAAAATCTTCAATTCTGAGACATCACGTACAGAATATTACCTTCAAGGTATTCTGAGGCAATTCAAAAGATTTTGAAAGTCGTTTGAACGTCCTTTATTTTCATGCGTTAGTATGGAATGTCAAGTAAAGCACCGATTGTCTCCTAGAAGACGACCGTGCCTCGGACAAGGACAATTTAGAGATTGGTAGCACCCATTAATAGAATTTATTTTTGCAGGTTTAAATTTAATGTGGACATTACCGAATCATTTCCGACATACAGTTGCATTTTTCCCGATGGAAGTGTATTGCTTAGACACTGATCCATTGTCTATCCCCTGACCGAGTGACTTGTATATACTTTGACAGACAACCTTTTATTTAATTTATTTTCTTCATAGATATGACAACAGACTAATTGTGCATTTCTCGGACGTATCATTGTTTTCCATGCTGCAGTGTATCGATTGCTTTTACGCCATGTGATTAATTTTTCATCTAGATGGGAGCCAGTGTATGGGATACATCAGAGACTATGCGATCAAATGCTTCTAAGCCCTCATTATTTGCTTCGTAGTCTCACATAGTGCTTTACTACCTACACCACTCATCATTCATCCACTCATCCCGCTATATACACTCATTATTTCTATAGCTAGCAGCGTTGAGGTAATTATGAAACCCTGAAGTGTGCCTGCTCAACCGGGAATGTACATAGCTACAGATATTCCTTAGCAGTTTCTGATCCATGCAAGCGCAATTGCGGTTGCGATAAATGTCTTTTGTTAATCTCCATGGTCCTTTCATCTCTAAACATTAAGACCTCGACCCTTCTGTTACCTTCAGGTCTACGTTGCTAAAAAAATGAGTGTCCTTGCACATCTTTACATTTAAAATTGTTAAGGAATTTTCATTTAATATAGAAATCATGCCAGATAACTTTTTATTAGATCACGAGCGAAACAGAAAGGTTAAGAAAACATTCCTTGACTGCCGCAAACACTCAGATGGATTTACTTTGGATTTTCAGCGAAACACAAGAGCGAGGAATAGGAATTAATTTAATGCGGTATGAGGTTTCTTCAGTTTTCACTTTCCGTTGCTTCTAGAAACGCTTTACTAGGGGACACCAGTCACCTAATTAATTAAGCTCCTACCAAAAACTAGTCACGCAATTACGTTATTTAATCACGTCGAGTAATCGTCGTTTTCCTCTATGTGCTACCAATCACATGTCGTTTAAAGTAACTCAGAAAAGCTTTTCAGTATTTATGTGATTCTCGTCGGTCGTAAAGATCATTTTGTCGATTGGATCCCTTTCGGTAATTCACGTCGGGTCTTAAGACACTCAAAGTACCGTACCCTCGTTACTTACTATCTTACTACCTGATACCCCCAGCTAATTACCTAATTACCTAATTGCATCGCACACAACGTCGCAGTCTCAACCGATGTCTTAACCCCTCCGTAAAGTGCCCACTCACGCACAAGAACCGGTGCAAGCTTTTATCAAATTCCCTCCGCTTATCATTTGCTTTCATTTTTACAAGTCTCACCAGCAGCATTTAGTTCCAAAATCTTGCACTGGACCGACAGCGCTGTAACCCTTTCCTTCACCGCTATCCGTAATACGTTGCAATTAATTCATAATTCGTCCACATTTAAATAGAAGTCAATGCAAGCGTTAATTGTACCACGTTTCTTCTTTCTTTTTTGCAGTGTCAATTTTTATAGGGTCCAAACCCTTGCATTGGATCATTGTCGCCCTGTTACCCCCTTCTGGCAGCATACTCCTCGCATCATAGCCGACCATTATCACGCAGAGCCAATGCAAGCTTTTAAGGAATCACGGCTTCTCCATTTATCATTGCCTTAATTGTAAAGCGAGTCGAGGCACGTGTTTCGCGAGGTTCGGACCGAAAACCTTGCATTGGGTCGTAGAGGTTGCAACCTCAACTTCGCTCGAGGGATGCGCGCTGTTATCGCGTCCATGTGGAGACCCTCTTAACGAGGACTTGTCTAATTTCTTGCTTTCTCTTGGCCAGTCTGTCGTGTGGAGGCCTTGGAACGTGCAAAGATCATAGCGATAGGTGCCGGTGCTGGCACCTTCTCCGTACTTCCCGCGGAAGCTCTAAAAAACCGAGCGTAGCACCCACCCGGTGCAGTGAGTACACCGTTCGTTCGGCACCGTTTACTTGGTCCTGTTCTACTCCGTGGCCTTTAACAAGCCCGTAAGAGGCACGACAGCACGCGATATGATAATAGAACCGATATGATAGACCTGTGGTAACCCGGAATGACACCTTGATTGTCTCGCGATCCCACCAATAATCCGCTCGACGTCGTCTCACCACCTCCGAGTGTTGGTTTGCAAGGCCGTGTCTTTCCCCCAAGCGTGTTTTCCGTTTTCCCGTTGGATGCGCCCTAACAGAATTCGGAAGTTCGTCGATCCTCCGTCTCCCTTTTTTCTCGAAAACCGGGATACGTCGACGGCGATCAACGCGAATGCGCGGAAACGGTATTCTCGATGAACAAAACTCGTCTTCAGGGTGCTGTAAATATCCTAAACGAGGAAGTCGGGCACCGATTGGTTTTTTTTTCTTTCTTTCTTTCTTTCTTTCATCCCCGAGCATGAATTTCTGCCGATGTGGACAAGTTGAAGAGGCCAACCGAGGGTCGGTTTGTCGGGATCTTTCGCGTCGCCGAAGAATCGATCGTCCGGACACCTAATTCGCGACAGGCTGCTAACCACCTCATCACCTTCACATATCCAATACGCACGATTTTATTTTATTTTGCCAGCTCTCTTTGCCATCATATCTTACTGTGCTCTGCATCGTTTGACGACACTGACACTGGGACTTTTGAACCCATAGAAGATGAACCACTACTCCCCGAATGCCCTGAAATTCGACGAGAGGGGTGAACTCGCGGTGTACCTTATCAATGCATATACTCTTAACACTCAACGTGTAGTCTTGGAAAGATGGGAAAAAAAAGAAAAAAAAATAATTGCATCTCAGATTGTCCTCTGCGAGCGTGCCAAATTTAACGTCCTTTGAGTCGACCAGCCAGAAAAATTGGGGCACATCCGCGCCCTGGCGATTGGAAATTCGAATTGTCCAGCGTGATAAGATGATTTGAGAGAGAATGATACGAGGAAACGGGAGTGCTAAGTGTAGAGGATAGAGGGGAGGAAAAATGTCAGATATCTTCGAGCACTCGGTGTGGTTAGGGAAGCACCGTTTCTCGTCTGCCTGGAACGAAGCCAGCCTCGAGACTCTACCTCGTTAAGAAAGCTCGCCCTCCACTTTTAAGGCGACAAAGCCGAGACGAGTCGCGAAAATAGGGCTAGCTTTTTTAACGACTTCCAGCCCACACGCTCCCACCGCGGAATTTTATGATACTCTCTGTCCCTACCCTCCAAGACGAGGGGATTCTTGTCCCGACTTGCGATACTTACGGCTCACTTATTCTTTCCCAACAGTACGGAAAGACCTAACGCTGCGGCTACAGTTCCGATTCTTTAACATGAACCACAGGAAACCCAACTTAATTCAGTAAAAACCAAGGTAGCTAAGCGCCTTAATGCGCGGTACTACTATATCGGACACCGGTGTGGAGAGATCTAACCAGTTGCTGCAGCTACTGCTTATTTAACACCGCATACGATGTAAACGTTTACGCAGGGGTTTACCAAGCTTCGCCGAGAGAGTAATGCCGTTTAAATTGAAAGTAGAGTCCTTTGCAACGAGCCACGGTGTACGGATCAATTTGTTACGCGGTAAAGGGAAGTAATACCCTACGAACGGGAATGGATGACAATTTCTGCAGTCGAGAGTCAGGAGAGAAATGAGTAAAAATTCAATTTCCCTTTTGTAAACGTGCTTTCCTAACTCTTTTGCGTTAAGTGACGATTCGCGATGCATTAAACGGCATTTTATCTTTTTTTGTTATTATTTTTGATTTTTTTTGGGGGGAGGCTAAAGTCATCCGACGGACTCGAGGACGCATTAAAGGAGCCTCGTCTCGAAGGCGTCGGGGAAGTGCATCAAAGTGCTCGTTTTCACATGATTAAGATGCAGTTTTACCGATTAGGACGTACACCTACGTGACGGTCGACATTATAAGCCCTCGATACGCGAGCTTGCAACGGGTCGGCACGTCGGCAACGGGGGCCCGACTCCGGTCCTCCACTTTTCACCGACGATGAAGTCATGACGCGTTAATTTCCACACAAAGCCGAGGCTCGCGTGACGTCGTTGCGACGTTAACGTCAGCCGGAAGCGAGCTTAACGCGCCCCGACGGTGCCCCCCGGGGCGTCGTCGACTCGGCCCGATCGCGCCCGTCGGTAGTTCCCCTCGGTAATGGGAAAAGAAGTCGGGGAAGAGCACTCGGCACTTGTTAAATTAATTGGAAAATATTTTCTATCCATTTTTGGTAACGTCGACGTACCCCGACGATCGCGAGAAATTGACGTCTTCGAGCTCGCTTAATTCGTACAATCGGCGTGTCGAGGGTGAAGTTAAAAAAAAAAATGGTTTATCAATTTTTCGCAACGTCGACGTGTCTTGACAATCGCGAGAAATCGACGTCTTCGGGCTCGTTTAATTCGTACAACCGGCGTGTCGAGGGTGAAGTTAAAAAAAAAAAAATGGTTTATCAAGTTTTCGCAACGTCGACGTGTCTTGACAATCGCGAGAAATCTACGTCATCGGGCTTGTATAATTCCCACAGCCAGGCAGCGTGTCGGGTTTGCGATTGTTCATTTTGTTGCGATGCATCGGTACTAACAATTGCCCTGTATATGCGAAGTGTATTAACCCTCGTTTGTGTTTTTCAGAATGTGAGACTCGTCTGGCGGACGATCGCGGCGAGACGTGGATATTTCCCGACGGGGATGGCCGTGCCGCGATTCCGCACGCGGATCGAGGAATATTCGACGACGTGCGTTTTAATCGTAGTCGGAGCATCGTCGCGGAATAACGCGACATCGTGAATTTACGGGCTCGTCGAACAATTTTCCCCGACTGCTCGGCCCGCGTTAAATATTCAGGAGTCGCCCGATCGGCCGCCACCCCCGCGTTTTCCGGAGCTTTTCGATCGGACCGTCGACGGAACACGCGTGTCCGTTTGTACCGAGGCCGCGAACGCATGTAGAAATTGTCCGACATTCGCGTTTCGCCGTTCCGTCGAATCTCCGATCCTCGCGCGCCTCCGGGTACTCGAATCCCGCGAATTTTCCGCCTCCACCAGGGATTTGAGTTACCCTCCGGAAAAGGGAATTCCACCAGGGCACCTGGAATCGAAGAACAAGTGCCGGGAATTCTCTTCTCCGGCGTGGCTCAACGAATTTCTTGATACTTCCAGCATCCCTTTAACCAACGACAGCCGAGTGATAACCTATCTGTGTCAATGTTTCTCAGAGACTGCCATCGAGAAATCGAGGATCGACCCGGCATACGATCCTGGGAAACGATTCAAATTGCCTGGAAATTCGGGATTTCGTTTGGATCCGCGATTTTTCGATCGGCAGACCCTCGAGTCTCCGGTTGCCGGAATGGAAAGGAGGGAAAAATAGGAAGAGCTCGTTTTCCACGTGTACATGTGCAACTTGCATATCTCCAGGCATGTCTCGAGAGTGTCCGCGCCCTGCCGAAGCGTCTCGTGGGAATTCCGCGCAGTCCTGGGATCATAAATCTGGATCCAGGGCTCGCGATCGGAAATCGGATCCGGGATCCAAGAAGCGCCCCAAAGAAACCGTGGAAAGAAACGAGCCCCGCCCGCGGAATTAATGGCCGGCCGCTTAACGTTACCGCGGAGACAATTAAGTCTGTATCCAGAGCGGGGAAAAAGCGCCGGGAGAAAGAACGCTCCCCCAGATATTTTACGAACGCACCGGTAATTCCTAGCCGGGGGGATTGCAATTTTACGAGGTGGATTACGCTCCGGGATAAACTGCGGCCGCTTTCGGGGCCTCTTTTCCGGGCCTCCGTTCTCCCCTTATTTTCGGCGTCCCTTTGTCTCTCCATTCGTGCCCGGTATTTTCCTTTCTCTCCCCTCCTCCTCCCTTCGTCTCCCTCAAAGAGTTGCTTTTCCCGGCCTTCCTCCGGTTTGTTTGGGACTTTCTTTTTTCTCTCTTTATTTCCTCTTTCAATTCCCTTTTCCCTTTTTATTCCCGAAGGAGAAAGAATTACGTCGGTCGGGCGAAACGCAAATAGTCGCCCGATATGTCAGGCTGGACTGCTCTAATTTTCTCGGTTTGTATCCCTATTTTTTTCCTCGCTTTTTTTTCTCATTTTTTATCGTATACTTTTTCTTCTCTTGCGGCCTTTTGGGGTTGCTTCTGGCTCTCGGGGCTTTAACTCGGCGAGCCGCGCTTTGGCAGGGCCGGCGTCTGTGATCTCGTGTTTGTGGCGTGTGTATTTATTTCCGTCTCTTATCGGCAGCATGTATCGACTGATCGACTCTATCGATGACGTTTGCGAGTGCAGGTGATCACGGTGTTTCGGGTGTTTGTTGCAGTACGGCAGTCCCGGCTCGGGGTGGCGACATCCTAATGCGATATGGCGTTCGCCTAGGTATTATATACATACATATACTATTTATATTTTATTTATACACGCGCTTATTCGTAACATTTTATCCAAACTCGCCGTAGTCGCTTAGACATAGCCGATCGAGTACTCGATGACCACCGCTGTGGGATAATGATCGATAGCTCGATGTAGGATCGACCTCGCGGGACTAACGAGACACGTTCCGTAAATTGCCTAATTTATTAACAGGCCCTTTATCTTATCATTGTCATGGCGCGATTGGTTTCGCTATCAGACGCGAATTTCGACCGGTAGCATTTTTTTTTTTTCTTAATTTGTTTTTCGATAAAGATGATTAACGTGCCACTGTTTGGAATCGATTTTTCTTCTTCTTTTTTCTTTTTTTTTTTCCCCCTCATTGTTTTTCCATCCACCATCCACGAACATCGCTTCTGTTCTACTCGTCCACCCTTGTGTCGAAGTATTGTCCCTCGTATACAGTTTTTTCTCGTCGGCACTAGGTATAAATCGATACCTGCTTGGACGCTTATCTTGTGCTTTGCCGCGAGATTAACAGGTGTCTCGGAAATCTTTATACCCCTTATTAACCGTATTTTGACTCGACTTAGTCTCCGACCTCGAACAGATCTTTCGGTAATTTTTTATTAGCGTTATTTGCATAGGTTGTGATAAGATACTGAAACGATAGAGCTTAGTTTCCCGTAGACGTATATCTAGAATGTAAGAATTAACGTTAGATAGTGTAAGGAAGTAATCCTGAATTTTTGTAATTTAATTTTTTGCCCTTGGTAACTCGCACGACAGTTTATCGTTTGATGTAACGTGCGGAATAATTGCGCATTCATAATTTTTATGCCTAATGTGGACGGTTCGATTCTCTCTGTGAGGCGTGCTGGCGAGTTTTGGGAATGATGAATCTGGGGAAACGGGATTTCTTTTTTAAATGGTGGTGGTATTGAAACGTCCACCATGGTTTCCACGCTGAGTGCAAAATGTCGGCGTCGTGCTCGCGTGCATCCGGTTTCACGAGCCCTCGACGATTCGCAGATTATTTCTGGATACATGGTTCCGAGCACATGCAAGTCGTATCTCGAGGGCCGCGTGTCAATTAATCTGACAACGCGCGTGACCACCTGCTCGACTTTGCGCGACTTGTCACGCCAAGTCGGGCTGCAAGTCGAAGGGCGGTTTAAAGGGACGGGGAAATTTAAAGGGTTGACTGGATATTTTCATTCGCAATCAAGAAGGGTAGATCATTTTTGCGGATCTTGTTTCTACATTGGAAAGTTTAAGAACGTCGAATTTCGAAAAAAAATTCGGGTCGAGCCCACTTGTCAATTAATCTTACGTGGGCGATCATCTGCTCGACTTTTCGCGATTTGTCGAGTTAAGGAAAATTTTGGCCAAGTCGACGGGCGGTCCAAAGGGACGTGGGAATTTAACGAGGCGATTGAACATTTCCATTTGTAGATAGGAAAGGTATTTTACTTCTTGATAAAAATATCCACCGACTTCCCGGCGCGTTCAGAATTTATATTCTGATCGAGCCAATTGATCCGACGAGGCGCGGGACATTTTTCTGGTATCTGTGAAAACTTCGTGCCAGGTTCGATCATAAGGCGAAGGGAGGAGGAAAATTTCGCTCCGGTTAGGGAAAGTCCTATCTTCGAGGGATTCTCATTTCTGTTTGCACTTTTCAGGACGCCAAATTTTGGGGGAGTTCCCCGCCGAATTTGGGGAGCGACGACGAGACCGCGACGGACCCTCCGTCGGCTGCGTCGTCTTCCAGGCGTGCCGGTCTGTTAGCCTAATTGCACGAGATAGTTGATTACCGGAGGGAAATCGTCCGCAGAACGGGGTGGAACGGAGGGACGAAGAGAAATCGCGGAGGAGCGAACGTCTGTTTGTCCGTCGAGTCCGTCCCCTCTTGTCCTCCGCTTTGCAAATGAATCCATTTGTATTCCGCGATGCGGTCGATCCGCCGGGACCCGGGGTCCCCCTTCGTCCCGGGACGCCAGATATCCTTCCCGGGATATCGGATCTTATCCGACTCGGCGGGAACTCCGAGCTTTTCCGCGCTTTCGGGCCAACGCGAGGAAAGTATCGGCCGGGCCGATTTCGCTCGAACGACTTTCCCGAAGAAAGGACCCGCTCGCCTCCCCCGTCGCCGCTTTTCCGCGAATTCTTTCCGATTTTCCGGGGATTCGTCGGGGTTTCTCCCTACCCCAGCCCCAACCCGGACTGGACCCTCCTGATCGTCCTGGGAAATTCTCTCCGCGCGGAGACTTTCCTCCAACTTTTGCCTGATCGATGCACTTCTTCCGAGTCGAGATGCAGAGAAATGCAAGAAAGAAATCCACGGGAATTTGTTGGGGAATCTGGCCGACGTCCAGGGCCTGAGGGTGGAGTCGTAACGGAGTTTAGGATAGACAGGGTTAACGAAATTCCATTTTGTTTCCATTTCTGCTGCGGGCTGTGACGGTTTTCGGTCTCTCCTACGGTATTTACTCTGCCGATAGCCGGTTTCGAAAGACTCGATTTATTTTTCCCCCGTTTCGACGGACGCCATATGCTGCGGGATAACTTCTTGGATGATCTCCAAAATGCAAGGAAAACATATCCCCTGGATTGGACATCCTCCAAGTCTTGGGGAAAGCCGAGCTTTTCCGCGCTTTCGAGCCATGTCGCGTGGAAATGTTTCGAGTCAAATCGATTCCAGAAGTGTTCTCTCGAAGAATGGGAATTAGGATCCTTTGACGTCCTCCGGTCCACGTTTGTCACGTTCCCGTCAAAAGATTTACTTCTCGGTTCACCGGTCCACGAGCGAACGGCCCAAGGCTCGAAGACGCGGAATTTGTTTTCCGCAAGTGCGGCATTTTTTTCGGGGGGGCTCGCGCAAGCCCTGCGATATCGATGTCGAAAATGTGAGAATTATTCGACGAGGCGATCGTCGGGGGGTAAATCATCCCGTCAATTGCCTCGCCTTCGTACTTAAGAAAATCGAGTTCGCCCTCGAGCCGGCAATTTCGTTCCCTCCTTTTTGCGGGTAGGACGAGCCCGCGTAATCGATAACTTCCGTTCGATCTGTCAGCCTCTTTCCGGGCCCCAAATGAAAATGGACGCGAGCTCTTAACGAGGAAATATCTCCCGCTGTGTCGGCGGAACGCCGGGCATTTTTGTTAATTCGAATTTCTGGCCGGATCGGAACGTATATAGATATGTTGCCACGTACCTTTTCGCGATTCAGATCGAACTCTTTGTTCAAGGCTCCCCGGAGGAAAGGGGCAGGCAGACGGAGCTAAGGAAGGTGGATAACCGAGGGGAGAAATAATTGCAAATGCCCCACCGAGGCCGGGGGCGATCGCACATTTCTACGCCCACTTTTTCCCTGGCCGATTGCACCGAGTGCACAAACTCCGCTCTCGGCTGTGTGGGATGCATTGAATCTGAAAGTTGGACAGGACAGAAATGGCCGATTCACTCGTTAATTGAAAATCCCGATCGAGTCGGGCCCGCCACTGCCGGAAACGGCCACCTGACTTTTGTCTTTCCCGCCATTTTTTCGAGACTCCGGACTATGATCCCCAGTTTAACTATCGGCACGTCTGGATAACGTTTGGAAGCCCTGAGAATAATTCCGCCATTCTTCCGGTAATTTCATCCCCGGCAGTCGGTTTGAGATTCTCCATTCACGCGTGGCTCGTTACTTCGATATTTTATTTCCGCCCCGGGGGAAGATCTCCTGGCTGGGGAGAGTGACCATTTCCGGAAGGGGAATTTTTTTGGGAGCGACTCCGATAAAATGTCCCAGTCGTCATTATCGGCGCATAAATCGCGGAACTTGGAGCTCTTCCTCGGCAGCCATTAATTCAGGCTCGATGAGTTATACGAGCGGATCGGATTTATCGGTTCTTCATGACGACTCGATGGGAGATCTCCGCAAATCTCGGACTTTCCGCCAAGTCGAGCCGGAAGGTCTCCGTAAGGCTAAGTCGGCCGCAAAATCGGCACTTCGTGGTCCCTCAAAAGAGGGAACTCCGACCCCGCTGACGATTTTAACGGCGAGCACCCGTCTCTTCCGGAAGTTTGTCTGCATTGTCCCCCGACCCGTTTCGGGGACGTTTACGGGAAATAAAATTTAACCCCATGATGTTAACGGAGCGGATTCGTCGTTACTCGGCCACGAGTCGATCGAGGGTGTCCGAAAAGTCGGCTCTTTTCGGCCATTCTTCTAAGTCAGATATATTATAAGAAATCATTCAAAGAGAGAATCGAACCGAAATATTAACCCCGGCATAAAAGTATTCCAAAGTACCATAAAAGATTCCCATGTTCCCCCTTGTATTTTTCTGTTATTTTCTCTTACACGGTAGGCGATACCACAGCCATTGAAATTAAAAAAAAAAGAAAGGAAAAAAAAATGAAAAGAAATCCCGGGGAACTATGTTAGAGTCGAGCCAAGTCGTCGCTTTTTTTTTTTCCAGCTTTGGAAAGTATAGGTCGTTTCCGATCGCTCTTTGCCAACTATAACTATATTTATAGTACAAAGTGGTTTGTAGAATCGCAGGAGGGACCTCGAGCAGCTGTCGCTTGTCGGATATATATTATTCGCCCCCGATGGAAAATGTTCCTTTTCCGTGACCGAGCCACGTGGACTCGACGCGGGCTTTCGCGGGGAACTTTTCCCTACCCTGGCTTGCCGCGAATAGACGGAGGCCGAACTTCGGTGAAGCAAGTTGCGAAGGCAACTTCGACCGCTCGAACTTCGGGCAGGAACTTCCGCGTTATCTCGATTAGCGGTCGATCGGTCGTCCCGATCAATTGATCGGAGCCCCTCGTTCTCCGACACTGGTCTGCCAGTCCGATACACGGTGTCCAATGTTCGAGTTATCGATCGAGTCCCTTAATCGAGGGCCGAATCGCCGATTAATCGGGCACGATTATCCGAGAGCTCCGTAGAAATTAGCCTCAATGCCGAGCCGGATTTTTCCGAGTCTTCCTCCTGCCTTTCAAGTTCATGGCTGTGGTACGCAGATTAAAACTCCCGACCCCATCCCTAATCGTAGGTCATGGAACGACGCCGAGAATACCCTGATAAGGTGTCGATAAGCGATTCCCTTCGACATTGATTTCCGGCGCATCTGTCGTTTTAATCGAGCATGCAATATCTCCAAGGAAATTTGTTGTTGATATTTATCCGCGGACTCGTGGAGCGGAAATCATCGACTCGTGGAATTTAGGGGTTGGATGCGTTCGGGATTTTTATTATATTTTATTTTATTTAATTTTTTCGTCGCAAGCATGTGGGTAGATAGGTTTTTGTTGAAGGCATATGGTTAAAGTCGGAGGGATCGCTTTCGGCACTCCCTAGCTAGTTAGAAGACTAGAATGGGTCCCTCATCGTGGAGTCCGCTTTTGACGACTGTTACTTTCCGCAGACCGTTTGTGTCGGTCGGGAAGGGCTTCCCGCAACTACACCACCGGCTGGGGCATGAACTGACGACGACCACGACGACGACAGCAGAGTAGAGGAGGGTCTTCGCAGCCGTTCCGCCGCCACGTCGATTGCAAGCACACACCCACACACCCACACACGCAGGCAGAGAAAGCATCCGAGGACCGAGAATCGCAGGGCGGAAGTCGCAGATCCCTCCCGGAAGGGTGTGGTCCTGCCAGCGGAAGCCGCCGAAAGGAGTAGCTTGCCACCGCACGCGAAGCTACCGAACCGCACGCGAAGCTGCAAAACCGCACAGGAGCGCCGCGGAACCGGCAGGAAGTACCAGGACGTCCGAGCTGGATCGGACGCCCTCCTGAAAGCGGAAGAGGAAGAGAGGGTGCAGGGGCGAGGAGAGAGCCGGAAAAACCCGGATAGAAAGTAGAGAGCCAGAGAGAGAGAGGGAAACGGGAGAAAAGGGAACGTGAGCCTCTTCGGAGCCCTTCCGGTCTCCCCGGTTGCGCCGCCTCCGGAAGTCGGCGCGGGCTTCTTCGAGGTCCCCGGAACCGGCCACTTCCGGTCGGTCGCTCTCCTTCCTGGCGACGCCTTTCGTTTTCGTGCGACCGCCTTGGCTGATTTTCCTCGTCGCGAGACTCGGCCCCGAAACCTGGCTCTACCAGCTGATTAATGAACACGATAACGTATCGTCGCTTAGTCGTTAACCGTCCTACCCAGTGATCGCGGAGACGTCCTCCTCGGCGGTCGGCCACTTCCACCACCAGGATCCACCAGGAACCACCGGGTGATCCTGGAAACGCGACGTCGCGGGACCGATCTCGACGCCTCGACGACCGCCGACCGGGACGTTTCCGGCTGGAAGCCCTCCCTGAAGAGGGCCTCTTCGTTTCGTACGGACACCCGAAGACAGCCGGGATGTGCCGTCCCGGACTTTTCGCTCAACGAGACGCGAGGAAACCCCATGGGAATAGAGAGAGGGAAAGTGAGAGCGAGTGTGCGAAAGACCGAGAGAAAGGGAGAGAATGGAGAACGCGAGTGAGAAAGGATCCCTTCGATTCGCCAGCCGATCCCTCCCTGATAAGAGGGGTAGGATCGATTCCCGCGAATGTTCTTCTGTTTTTTTTTTTTTATTCATTTACCATTGGCCTCTCGTCCGTCCCTGACGAAACCCCTGACCACGCCAGACTTTTCCATTCTTCGAACGGACTGGTCGTTAGGGTTGGTCAGGAGTTCGCGTTCCGGCCTGGGCGAGGGGTGGACGCGTCTTTTTATCTCAGAATCGGGAATTCACGTCCGCGTTTGCGGGGCGTGCACCGCGACGACCGACGCGCGTCGAGGTGACCGGCTTACCGGTGGATCATGATGTAATAAATTTAAGTCGACCTATGCACATATACGGATATTAATAATAATGATTAATATATTGCGACCCTTGTCCTAACGTTGCGGCCGAGCGACCGGCCCTTCGGCCTGGCTGCCTCTGTGTCGTTTATTCTCACTAATCTAACGAGTAATTATTCTTATTTAATTAATTACTTTAGCGGTCGGTACGAAAATCAATCTGTACATATTGCGTTAGAATGTGGGCTCGACTCGACTGCGCCTGGGGGAGGTGCGGGAGATGAAGAGAGTGCAAGAGCGACTGAGAGACAGAGCAATTAGAGAGACGTGGGGATGTTTGTATGTGAGACTGTGTGAGACTGTCGAGATCGAACGAAAGGACGTACGTGTGTGAGTTGGATAGGTCGCGGAGAGAGGAAAGAGTGCGGGGGAGGACGACGCGGAAAGAGACGGCGGACGCGCCGACCGACGCGGGCGGACATTTCGGATAATGGGTAGCGCTTTGAAATCCCGAGATATTGCGACGGTGTCGCGAAAACGCTTCTCGCATTGTTCAATCGTACCTAGGCTGCTGGATTTCGCGGGTCCTGTCAGTGTCGTGACCGCCGACGCGATCGCGGTTACATCGCGTACGCGCAATCTACGTAAATGCAAGGAACGCTTTGCCACCGCATTTCGGGGCTGCAGAATTTCCCGACGTCGCGGCGGATTATCGCTAATCGATGGACGTTTTTTGATACGATTCCGTCATTTATCGCTGATTTTTTAGCGCGTATCGGGTCGCCGGTTCTGGGGGACTCGCTGTCGCGCTTTCTGGATATATATATATTTATAGTGTGGATGTATCATCGTTATATGCCCGGAATTATTAATCGAAATGTCCGCGGCGTCGCGACGCTTGCTCCGGTAATGGGTGTCGATGTAGAGGGCATACGGCGTGCTTACTAACCCCGTGGAAATAAATGGGAATGGCGGACTCGGAGACTCTCGCCCGACAGGGTGAGAACGAGATCGGGCGAGGGGAGGACCGCGGTATTAGCACGTAATACGGCCAGAGAGGGAGATGGACCCGAGAAAGGGGAGAAGGAAATGTCGGCGGTTATTCTACTCGTTGTTTTGTTCGCTACCTCCTTGATGTCTTCTTGTATGTATTTGTGTACGCGCAGCCACCTACACTTACTCACACACACGGTGACACCCGACACACTATGCACGCGCACGATCAAAGCCTTGCTAGCCTTTATCTTGTAACACGAGATTTAAATAAAATATCAAAATGCACCCAAGCGAGCCGAGAGCCTTCGTTCGTTAACGTACTTATTAATTGTAACTGGTAATCAAACCTTATAAGTAAGTTAGTAGCGGACGTTAACTTTATTTTCATTGCTACTTGTGCCGTAGGGGTTGAGGGTGGCGGTTTTGGATGGGATTATTTTGGGGCGCGAGCAATCCTTGGTATCTGGTGGTATTGACTTTTGGTTTATTGACTCTTCAGGGGTTTTTCCTCGGGGATATCTTTTGGTTAATAGTTGGTACTCGTGGTAACTGAATTTTCCGCTGGACCTGCGATGAAGGAGGGAGGTGCAGGCCGGATTCCGGGCCCATTGATACGCAAAACGGGCTTGCGGGGTGCTTGCCAACAACAAAACCCTCTAATCCGAGGGATGGTTTACGGGCCGATAGGTCGTCGATTTGCCGAAACCCCCTTCTAGGTGCACCCTGAGTGTTCTCTCGCGGTCTTCATGCAAATTGAAGATCTGGCTCCTTCGACACCGCGAATCCCCTGAATCCCGAGGTCGGAATCTAGAGACCTCCCTTCCGTCATTTTCACTCGAGGTGTGGACATATCGCCGCTCCATGAATATACGTACATGGTTTTTTTAAAAGTACGCGAAAAGAAACCAGCGACGCTTTAAATTCCACGCACGTGGGTACGCATTTGGCGAGAGACTCTACCGAGTTTCCCGCAAAACCGACGGCGACAAACACCGCTTCGGAGTGTCTAAATCCACTATTAACCGTTCCCCGAGTAAATTGAAAGGTAACAGACTGTCCATTAACATCGCCTTCAGGTATGGCATATATGGCGACCGGTCCCTCGTGCATCTATTTACGGGAGGGTCTATTTATTTAAGGCTTAACGTTACATCCAACTGTCAAAGCTTCCAGCTTGGGCGAGAAAAAGTACCGAACGGCGCTTCCATTTTAGCTCCCCTGAACGTTGCTAAACAACCGCATACGAAAATTAATATCCAGAGATTACTCCATCGCTAATCGGAGCCGATTTCCCGGCGAGCGTGAAATTGCCAAAAATACCGGGTAAAAAATCCAATCGCTTATATTTTATCAGGAAATCCTATCGCTTAACCGGCGAAGCTCCCGAGGTTCTTGCGGCGGTTGCATCCTTGTAACCTTTTGTGCATATGACTCTCCATAAGATTGTCAGGTAGCGTCGCACTTACGTCGCAATCGTTCGTTATCAACGGCTGATCGTCTAATGGCGGATTATCCGGTGGGTTCGTTCGAGGCTAAAAGGAGCAGCGTTAAAATAGATTCCAGGACGTGGGTAGATTGGTCCTTTGATCATGCCCGGCTTCCAGTGCCTGTACGTCGTGGCAGCAAAAAGGGGTAATACTCTTATTACTCATTCCATTCTATTCGCTCGGAGCCTCTTCGGTAACGAGACACCTGCAGGCAGGTATACCACCACGGGGTAACATCCCCGATACACTCGTTCGCTTCCTCTTCTGCTCCTGCGGGGGTGCTTGCAACGAATTAGGTAATCTCACTAACGACGCCCCGAACGTCCGTACGGCCGTTGCTCGTCATTACCGAACGGCGTACGTAGAGAGTACCGGGAGTTAATCGTTACGGCGAAACGGACCCGGAGAGTCAATTATTCGACCTCGTCAATCGACGGAGGAGCTTCGCCCCGCAAAGGGAAGATAAAGATAGACTGATAGAGAAAAGAGTGGAGGGAAGAGCGCACATTCCATTACCCCCGTCTGTCTCTTGCAGGACAATTTTATCAAAACGCCCGCCTAGGGGAAAGTGCTCGCCAAATGGAGAACTCGGCCGGAAGCGCGTCGGTCCGAGTGCGCAAAAGTGGCGACTCCGAGGCCGGGTTTTTTACCTCGATTTTGGGGGACAAATAAACCCCCGCCGAAAAATACCCCCGACAAAAATGGGCCAAATGGATATTGGACAGGGAGTATCGGTGCGGCAGGAGGCGCGGCCTTTATTGGAGAGAAATGCCGTTTATGGGAGTGGACTTCCGGGATGCGTTTATTTATATTTACGGCTCGGCTGTGGCGAGTATTTTGAAGAGACTTTTCCTGAATCGGTTCGATGTTGATGTCTTGATGATTTTTATAGGTTATCTTGAGGGTTTTTTCTTGGTGCAAGGAGATATCGGTATTTCAGGAGATTGGTTCGATTTGCTTTGGGGGTCCTTTCGGGGATGGGTTAAATCTTTACTCAAGGACTGCAGGACTCGTATGCGCGGCCAGAAACGACGGGCAGGACTTAATTCGCCCCCGAGTCCTGGCAGTCGTTTATTCCCGGCGAAAATGCATATTTCATGAATCAGGACCCACAAGTGGCCTGCGTTACTTCCGCCGGACGTGCAGACTTTCCCGGATGGGTTTCTCGTTTACGCGCGCTCTTGGGAGTCGCCGAATTAACCGGCCTGATCCCCTTGGAGCTTTCTCTTTTCCTAATTTTCATGAACTCCGCCCGGAATATCCGCAATTCGATGCTCGGCAAGGCAGACTTCATTCCGGGCATCTTCTCAAAGGAGCTTCTGCGATGCTAATTTCGAGGAAGTATGTATCGAGTCTCCCGAGGTATGAGAATAAAAAGTTTCACGTGAAATGATAGTAACGCCTTCCTCGTACTTTTCACCGTATGGGAAAAATCCGAGGAAATGTTGAAAAGAGAAATCCGGGGACGTGGTGCGTCTTTGGACCCTTTTTATAATATCGGTCGATTAATGTTAGTCAAAATGACCTGGTGGTTAATTTCTATCGCAGGTTCTAGGGATGCATTTTCTGGAACGTTTCCCCTAGACGGAACGTCCCACCGGAAGCGCGGCCAATTTCTCTTTTAAAGGCGAGGAACGTACTTTACGCGCGGATTTGGAATTGCCGCGGAGCGACATTTTATTTACTGCCCGGAGATGCACCGCGACGGAACTAGTTTCCTGCAGGAAAAGTTATTTTGCATAAGTTCCGCACCGTAATCGCAGCGAGTTGCTGGGCCAGCAACGCAGCTATCGAGGTAAATACCTTGCAGTGCCCGCGGTGGCGCGAAGCATGTCATAAATTTACATACATGCCCTTATATCTACGTAAAGCCTTCCCGATAATGAACAATCATTAATAATTGCAATAAAAATATCTAAGACGGTTATTCAAAACAGCCCAAGACTATCCCCCCCGGAGCCATTCTCCTCGCTAATTAATACCATTAAAATCGATCACTCGGTCATAATCGATACACCTCCGAATTTAAATTCCCCGCCAGTATCCGGGATTCCCTCTATCCTTGACAACGAATATTCATTGATAATTCTAATAAAAATATCTAAGCGAGGCGGATCATCGAGACACCTAAAGGCACTTTCGCCCGGATCCATTTCCCTCGCTAATTAACACTATTAAAATTGATCACTCAGTCAAGACCAATCGATTGCGCCTCCGAATGTTAGTTCTCCAGGATCCCCTCCGTCCTCGAAGAGGGCCTTCAAAGGAGCTAAATTGCAAGGACTGGCCACGACTGTTTCCACCTTCCTCGTCGAGGTATCGATCCCTGGAGACGACGGACTCCCTTTTCTTGGAGAGCCCTCGACCCTGTCAGGGTGTCGCCTTTGTCATCGCACGCTAATAGAGGAGCGCGAGGAAACTCGACGGAAAGGAAAAACCCGACTCGGAGGTCCCGTCGATTTCGCGGGATCGTTAATAAGCCCAGGATCCGCGCATCCTGCCGCAGGACGAGGCGTTAATCCCGAGCCTCGGCGTAAACTCCGGGCGCGCATTTCCATTTAAAATGACGCCAATAAACGAGCGTCAATGTTGGGTCCCAGTTTTACGCGAGGCAGCGATCTTCCGGCGGAAATGAGGCTGCCACTTCACCGGGCATCTGCATTCGGTACGGCGACGTCGCGTGCTTCCGCGGTTTATTATTATTGCCGCGTTCATGTTCGTCCTTAGCTCGCTTCGAGTCGCTTGATTAAATGCAGAATTGCCTCCGTAAGATCCACTCCTCAACCGAGGCCGTATTCTTGGGGCGAGTTGCGGTCTGGAGTGGCACCGCGACGCCTCGCCCCTGCGACGTTGATGCGTGAACGGAAATAATTCGTACATGATACTTATGCAGGTATATCTACGTACAAGTCCTTGTTAAATCGCTCATTTACATTATTAATTACTTTATTAATGTATTTTCTTAAGAGGAAAATTATAAAAAATGTCGAAACATGAAGGACGCTTGAACGTACATGATGATGGCATACGTGTTTTTGTAGGTACATCTACGTGTGAATCCTCGTTGAACAGTTAATTGACAAGTCGAGAAATATAAAATATGTTTTACCGTGAAGGGAGGCCATTACGCTACAGTTGATATTTTTTATTACAGGGATTCAAGGATGATTGTATTTTGGAGGTGAATGGTGTGAGGAAAGGGGTTGGGGATACGTCGAAGAGCGTATTGAGATTTGTTTTATACGGTGTTTAAGGTATAAGTAGGAAGATTCGATGTAGTCGCACCCACGTGGGGGAATCCACCCCTTCGAGGGCTGTCGGATGCAACGTTTGCGCAAAGTCGCACAAAGGATGTGGGCGGAAACTTAAAAATTGGAAAGAGGAGGCAGGGCACGGCGAAGCGGAAATTAGAGGGTGCTCTCTCGCGGAAAATCGAAGGAGCCGTCACCGTGAAAGCGAGATTGGACCAAGAGATCCCAGTTTCATGGACGTCGGCCGATATTCAAGATATATTTCAAGTTGTTCTAAAGCCGCCGTTCTACGACCCAATAGGAAGTGTCAGACATTTACGGTGAAATTTGCGGCCCGGAGATATCGGGACGGAATGGGACGCTCTCGAATATCAGGAACATCGATCGACCGACCCTGATACCTTATCGAAAATTTTTTAAATATAAATCGACTTCTGAGGAAAAAGAAAACAAATTAAATCCTCGCTTTTCATTCAGTATTGCCAGGCAATAAGGATTACCTGTCCACCTACACCTAGCAGTTAGGAGTAAAACACGTCGAGTTAAATGCGA